TAGACACGGCGCACATTTTGGTAGCCACTGATGACGTCATTAAGTGTAACCTTAGGCGCGTAATTTAAATGGTTGAAATTTTAGGTTAGATACAACTAAATCCAGCTTATTTAGTTTAAACTTGATTATAATAAATAATGGTGCCAGGTAAGTAATAACTGTCCTTATAGATGCGACTTTTACTTGCTTTGTTGATATCAATAGGTGGTGGTGCCCTTGTTGGTAATTAAATGCTTCTTGGGGTTTGAAAGTTATCAGTTGACTGACAATAGTGCTTTGAACATAATTAATTCATATTAACATCACATAGGTAGTATTGTAAATGAAATATTTATTTTCAAATTTATTTATTCAAATGAAATAATTAATTTCAAATTTTGTTCATTGTATGTATAGTATAAATTGTATAGGTACTCACTTTGTGCATAATTTATATTTTCCTTATTTTGTAAACCACAGGCTTCCATTTGGCCAAAACTTTTGGTGACTTTGGGAATGTAAAATATTTTACGCCTGTGTGTTTTGTTTTGCTATGATAGCTTGGACAGCCCACAACACAACACTTCATTGAAAAATATTATTAAAACATATAATAAAAATAGTAATATTAAAATGCGTAGAAAGTTTTTTATAACGAGTTTATAAAGATTATAACCTTTAATCCATATCTCTGCTTTAATCATAACAAATATTTAAATATTTGACAGACAAACAAATGACAGACGCGCATGCGCATTTTGTTTAAACCAGGAGCTCTCAACATTTTTTTACACTTGCGCAACAGATGATGAAAATAAGTAATCGGAGTGTCTAACCACCTTCTCTACTAAACCAAGGAGCGCTGCATCTTAAAATTTTGCAGGCAGGCAGAAAGAGTATTTGATTTCTCGCCAATAAAACAGAAATTAAAGAAGATAAACTTATGTAGTTATTATAATAATATAATATGCACCATATTTTAAACTTGCTTTGTTAGAATGGCGAGCAAAAAAATAGCTCAAAAACTTCTTATTCAATGATAAAACTGTCGTAGTGTATTTATGAGTATTTCTTTCTTGATTTATTTGTTATCGTTATAATTACCTAGCTTTAAAAATAACAGCTCCTAGCGATATTTCGGCTTCTAAATTCCAAAATACAGGGTGTTATGTAATTAATGTTATATATTAAAATGGGTTGTTCCTTAGGGTCCATAAATTTTTCTAAATTCCAAAGTCTAAAAATAATTTATAATAACCTTTATCCTAACAAAAAGTACGCCACTGATCGACTAGGAACTTTAGGTTAATCTGGTGGATTTATTATGTTATAGTTGGTAACAACAGTTTTTCCAAAATCTCTCAAAAAAGTTGACAAACATGTTTGTCAACTTTTTTGCATTGTTTAAATTTAGCTTAATTACAAAAATGACAAAATTAACAATGCAAATTGTCAATTTGGCGTTTTTATTAATTGTTGGTTATTTCATTTTTGTACTGAAGGTAAATTCAAACAAAATCTGCCAACTTTTATGACAGAATCTAGTGCATTTCTTTTAAATTTTAGGTTATGTTTTCAAATTGTAAATATCTTAACTAAGGGAAGTGCTTTTGGATTTATTTACACAAATTAAATGTTTAAAGTTTAACCTGTAAACTGGTCCCAATTTCATCTGAGTAAACAGAGAAAAAAACTGATGAAAAAATTAATTTTGTGGTTATGGATTTCAAATTTCAAAGGTACTAAATTTTCTAATCATTAATGCAATTGCTTAAGCTAATAGCTGGATCAGTAAATAAATACAGAAGGGTATTAGAGCTTTAAGGGCATAAAACTTTTGTATTTATTGAGTTTTATTTATTTTTTGCAAGAAAAATTTTTAGTAACAATTTTTTACATCTGGCAACGCATAGCTACCATAGATAACAAAGCCTTTGTTGGTTGGTATCTATGTACTCACAAAATACAGGTGTGCAGAAATAAACAAGTGTGTAACCAGTGGCGTATCACAAAAAATATAAAAAACTTCCAATGCATATTTTTTCTTTATCTTTGGAAAAATGCTTTTTAAAATATTTTTCCTTTATTCCTTATGTCAAAAGGTATTCAGTATTTTAATATATAACATTAATTACATAACACCCTGTATAGGTAATCAAAATTTTTTCAGAAAAATGTGTTTTTTTACAAATCTGTGAGAATTACATAGATACGAGCTATCAAAAGAATTCGTTAAATATCCTATTGCTAAATCTTTCGAATTTTTTTTGTTCACGTAAGTATACTGTGTTTTAGATCAGTTGAACACTATGTAAAATAGGAAGAAATTCAAACATAAGGAAACATTGTAGATTGGCTTTTCGGTCATTGTTTTCTTTGTCTTAGTACTTGTGTGTGTATTAATTTTCTTGTGGCCCTAAAACATTTAAGAATAGTGTTTTAATGGTGAACGCATCTCAAACAAATATTTTTTACATATGTAACCACTTGCACTTTAGGAGGCAGCCACCTGGAAGCTAACCTTTCTTTGACTGACCACGCACCGCCACTGCAAGAGGCAACGGTTTTTATCTAAAAACGGTTGCAATGGACAACAGTGCAGAATTTGGTTAACCTGTATTCTGTAACTTTCTTATTATTAATTATGTCCCGAGGGATTTATTTCAAGTATTAAAATAAAAATCTTTTTTTTACCACAAGTAGGTACTTTTTAACTTATAATATAATTATCACTAGTAATACCACTAGAGGTCAAATTATTTCCGGAAATTTTTTCGAGCTCATGAATATTTTGAAAATTATCCCGAGTCGAAGACGAGGGATAATTTTCTAAAAATATTCATGAGGGAGAAAAAATTTCCGGATTTAATTTGACCTCGTGTGGTATTCGGTAAGAAAATTCCACACCAAATTGTGTTTAAATAATTAAAATTTATTTTTTGATTTAACTTGACCTCGACTTGATTATTTAGTTACCATGGCAACTAAGTCAACCCCAACCTAAAAGTTTGAAGCTGTCAAGCGGCACGACGTAAAAAAATGTGAAATTGTCTGCTGTAATGATCAATCATCGTGCAATGACTTATTTACCCGCATTATTAGAGGATTGTGGCTCCTACTTGAAGAAAGAAAATTTGTTTTGAATTGTTCACGAATATTTGCATCTTAACTATTCAAAACTCAAAGTACTAAATGGAAAAAAGGTGAATAGAATAGTGTCTAAATATTATATATATTTCATTAGACATAGACATTTAATTTATTTCAAGTCCTGCATTTTCGCCATTAAGAAGAAAGGAGGTGTCCAACGAATATAGAAAACATCTAAACTTTGTAATGGAAATGTATCAAAATTATCATGTAAACAAATAAAAACCAGATTGTCAAAAAAATATTCTGTCATTATAAACGTCAAAAAATTTCCAGTATAATTCGCTGTTGGGTACCCACGAGGAAAAAATTTCCACTAAAATTCAACCGTTGCCATGGTGATCTATCAAAAATACACGTTTTGATTGGTTAAAAATTACAGGTGTGGAATTTTCTATAAACAAAATATTTTAATAGTATATTAAAGTACAAGTTGCAGAAGGCCACATATTCTCGCACGAATTCGAAATTTGGCCTCGAGCGACGAAGGAGCGAGTGGACGAACGAATGAGTGCGAGAATAGCCTTCTGCAACGTGTGATTTATACTATTTTCTCGATTTTAACTTTTATTTAGGTTTTTTTAATTGTTTTGTGGTCGTTGTTAGTTGGGGGATTTTTCTCGCAAAATGTCAGTTGGCAACACAAAATGACAGTTGCATGGACAGGTACATTTATTTTTATTTACTATTTATTAATAATCACAGATTATACAACTTAATAATCTGTCTGTATTTGTCAACTGGATAATAAGGTTTTGTGTAAGTATTGTATTATTTTTTAATGTTTTCTGATATTTTTGAACAATTGTGTTTACTTTTAGCAGTGAAAAATGTCACAGGAAGTTTTACAAGCAACACCGAACATTACAATAAAAGTTTATAACAATTGTGCTAGTGATTAATTTATAGTAGTTTTTTGTTTTGTGTACTGTGGGTATATAATATTTCCAATAAAATATAGTTTGATTGACCTGTTTGGCTCATTTATTTGTCAATATTTGTTGTCCTGCACAAGTACAACCTGAACTGCACTTTTTCAAATTAAAAAATGAATTGTTGGGCAAACTTAATATAACAAAACAATAATAAAGGTTTCATTTTCAATAAAAGTGTAGTTCAGGTTGCACTAGTGCAGGATAACAAACAAAGCTATTATAAATAATCCTAAAAGTAATGAATTTGAGGTTATTAAACAGTTTGACATTTTGGGGGTACCAATACTTAAAAACTAAATTTTACCAAAAATCGTTTAAGAATGAGCTTCATTCTTCAACGATTTTGCGTGCAAGAATATGACATTCTTACATAAAAATCGAGAAAATTATTTCTTAAACGTCTAAACCGCACGCGTATGTTGCGATAAGAAAGTAATATATCTTTGAAACGAAATAAATGAGTTTAATAGAATTATGATTTACAAAAAAATATTGTCCAAGCCCCTGAATTATTTATTAATCAATTTTAAATATTTTTATTTTATGTAATTTAATCTAATTTAATTGTTATTATTTTAATTAATGAATACATGCACGTAGGCTTACAATTAAATTATTAGAACATAACACGTTTAAATAACATTATGTTTTTAAAGAAAAAGCGCATTCACCATTTTTGCAAATCGTAATCTCGGTTGCCTATGTTTAAAATGTATAATTTACCAAAAAACGCATTTTTTCTTACTGCCTTTCTCCATAGTAGGGCAGTATATGTATACTCATGGATTAGGGTGTCCTACTTATTAGTTTTTTTGTAATTTATGGGATGGAAAATTAAACATTCCGAACGACCCTTGTATACTTGTTATATGGTTACTTTTAAACTTATGGGTTGGTAGCTCAGATTAGCTTGGCAGCATTGATGTTGTCATTTGTCAAAACCTGCGTTCGTCGGAAAGTAAACGATTAATATTTTGTGTAGCGTTTAAAGAAAAACTCATAAAAATGCCTCCTTTGGAGCCAAATGGAGAAAAAACCGATGAACCGGGACCGATAAATTCGGTGGTGGGAATAATTTATCCACCACCTGAGGTGAGAAGTATCCTTTTTAAAGAAGCATAAAATATAATAACCTATCAGTTTATAGATTTTACCGCTTTACAGATAACTTAATGTTTAAAATAAATAGTTCATATATTTTTCCTGACAGAATTGTTAAGATATTGTTGATAAAACCGCAAGTTTTGTTGCTAGAAATGGCCCAGAGTTTGAGGCTCGTATCCGTCAAAATGAATTGGGAAACCCGAAGTTTAATTTCTTGAACAGTGGGGATCCATATCATGCGTATTATCAACACAAAGTCAATGATTTCCGTGAAGGAAAAGGTAAGTTAACTTTAATAGTCAATGAGGATTTTTACTTCAAGTATGAACTAAAATTTATATTTCATTTTAATATTTACTTTTAAACAACTGCAAAGTTTCTATTTGTAAATATTATCTGTTTCTGACAATTAACCCTTTCGCTCACAAATTATGGTTTGCAAAGATAAAAATATAAAACTAGACACATAATTATTTGCTATTTTTTGGTACTTCTCTACTAGTTTTTTTTTACAAGGTGTGCTAAAATAGGACATGAGAACGTGAGAAAATGGATAAAAACTCAGTCAAGCAGATACAAAAAATTGTAGAAAACTATGTACTAAATTTAGTATGCCATAAGTAAAGGGGTTAAGAAGTTTTAATAAATTTTCATTGGCTTGACTATAATAGCTAATTTTACAATAATTAAAATGATGAACCTTAGCCATATTTGAATATTCAGTTTGAAAGAACTTTGAGTATCTTGATAATACAACTGGAGAGCGAAAACCTGATTTTAATACCAACTATTTAATTTAGGTGTATTTATTCTTGTCTGTGTTAGTAAAGTTTTCTTATTTTAGGTCAAGAACCAGCTACAAATTTACCTGCAGCAATATCAAAACTATCAGTTACTGCATCAGCACAACAGAAACAACAAGAAATTTTAAAACAAGTTGAGCAACCATTTGTTCCAAAAGATCCTCCACAAGAATTTGAGTTTATAGCTGACCCACCTTCCATTTCTGCTTTAGATTTGTAATTAAAACATCAACTTCTGTTATAATATAATATATAAATTTGTATTTTTCAGAGATATCGTTAAGTTAACAGCACAATTTGTTGCCCGTAATGGCAGACAATTCTTAACCCAACTCATGAACAGGGAGCAACGTAACTTTCAATTTGATTTTTTAAGACCCCAGCACTCTTTGTTCCAATATTTTACAAAATTACTGGAGCAATACACCAAGGTACTTATTCCACCAAAAAGTATGCAACAGAGATTAAGAGATGAAGCCAAAAGTGCCAGGTCTGTTTTGGAACAAGTTAAATACAGAGCAGAATGGCAAAGGTACCAGGAGCAACAAAAAGCTAAAGAGGAGGAAATATTGGAAAGAGAAAGAGTTGCTTATGCACAAATTGATTGGCATGACTTTGTTGTGGTCGAAACTGTAGATTATCAACCGTTTGAAATCGGTAATTTCCCGCCGCCAACTACTCCAGAAGAAGTGGGAGCACGTTTGCTTATTCAAGAGAGAATTGAAGAAGGAGAGGACATTGAAATGCAACTTGAGAGCGATGATGAGGAATCTGCACCACCCACCGTAAGTTAAATCTTAAAAAATGCATTTTTGCTAAACCTTTCTGAAAGTACTTCCATCTCTACTAAGATAAAAAAAAAATTAGGAAAAAGTAAATATTGTTTATTAGTCCCAATTTGCACAATTCCTTGTGAAATTAATTATTTTTCCCTATGTTTAAAACACAATATCAAATATGGAGATTTGTCAACCAAAAAAAAAAAAAATCATACAGGGTGTCTGGGAATAACGTTAATATTTAATTACATATTTTGGGGGGTTCTACACGTAAAAATATAAGAAAAAGTTGCTATTTATAAACAGATGCGAAAATGCGGGGGCGATTTAGACATTTTAAACTGTTTCTATTAATTATTTCAGTAACAGTTAGTGTTAACATAATGATACTCTACTTCTGGGGTAATTTTTAGCCCTCCTCGTCCTATCCTTCGGGCGGCGTAAACTTCATCTAAATGTGTCCTTAAGTTTGCATAAAAAACATGCACCATCTTAAATGGTAGGGCGAGTCATCAAGGAGGTTTATGAAAACGTTTCAGTCGACTTGGTAAGACTTGAGGACCTATGGAGAAATCTTTGCTAGTGCCTTGATTCAATAAAGGCATACGGATTTTCATTAGCCCATATATCACTATTATAAAAATTAATAATTCCATCCGATTCTATCCCTATTAAATCCGGCTTTGACTGTAATGTTTTTTTTTTCAATTAAGTTGCCATTTTCTTGGAAAGTGTAATTTATCATTTTTTTAGAAATTTCAGTTTGTTCTGATTTATGTTATGACAAATGTCACCACAGATTATAAAAGAATGTCACCAATGACAAAATAACGATGTTTGTGAAGCAGGCTAACTTGATTTTTTTCTATTGTCTACTAATTTGCTTGCATTTTTCATAGCGTTTTTCTCTAAAACGGTTGTCTCCATGACATTGTAACAAGAGCACCTTTTTTACGTCTAATTATCTAGAGATTTATATTCCAATATCAAGAAAACAAAAAAAAAATATGAGGATTTTTCCCCGAGTTTCGCACGCCAATGCTCATCATTTCGACCACCAGATGATTTCTTATCCAAAAAATACCCCATAAATAAAGCATCATTATTTTCGTACTAACCGTTTCTGAAATAATTAATAAAAACCTGACTTTTTTTTAATAATTTTTTTTAAATGTATTTTAAAAACTAAGCATTTCCGGACCTACGTTTAAGTGAACTTTTTGTCATATTTTTGGGTTATGAATCTCCAGACTATTGGATACCTTTCATATTCACATTGTGGGTTTTAGTCACGATATGACTTGAAAGCAACGAGTTTTTGGCTTTTAGTTACGGGCCAAAGTTAAGTTAGTTGACAATTATTAAATGTCATACATATGTTAAAAAAATAATAATCTTGAGAAAGAGATGTTAAAATCATCTGACAGAATCTGTCTGATTTTATTTGATTATATTTAAAACATATAATTGGAGTAGTATGGAATTCGTTTTATAAACTTCTCTAGACCCTCCGCAAGCTTCGCTCGCACCTATAGTTCATCTTTTTTATCAATCTGAACCAGCTTACTTGACCAGCTCATTATGTTTAAAAAGTTTTCAATATGATCAAGGGTCTCAATCAAGAGAATCTGAGTTCAACTCATTTCTCAAATCATATACATATATTAGGGTGTGTCATTTTTAAGCAACTTTTTTTTTAACTAAAAAACAGGCTAAAAACTTTCAGGAAGGTGAAAAAAGAAAACCTCCAAAAATTTGAGCTCTTAATATTAACATTAAGTGGTGCCTGTTCCTAACTTTCCATTTTCCATTTAAATAACATGGAATTTTTTTTTCTTTTTTCTTATTTTTGTAGCTTGACATTTGAGCATTGTAAAAACGAACTGAAAAATTATTTTGGTAGGAAATTGAACGCTCTACAAAAAAGTTTCAATATATTTTTTCATAGAGTGAGCCGTTCTGAAGGTATTCAAACTTAAAGTTGCCTTTAACATTTCGAATCGCGGCACGTTAGCGTGCCTCTAGTCACCGTGTAATCCGAAAGGTAATATACCGACTGAACCAATATAATCTTTTATTAGAGTTATCGACTTTAAAATTATAAAAAGTAAAGAAAGATTCAGAAAGAAGAAGAAAATTCAATACAATAAGAAATTCATTGTTTTATTTAATCTATTATAATTATTGAACAAATTTATTGAACACAAATAACTTTTTTTGATAGTAAATAAAATAAAAAGGAAAAAAAAATGAGATGTAAGTGTTATTTTCTTTCTATACGAAAATAAATATTTTTTCTTAAAATAATTTTTAAGACAAAAAAGTATTAGTTTAATAAAATAAAAGTCATAATTTCATACATTTGCAAATTTGACTACCTTCAGAAGGGCTTACTCTATGAAAAAATAAATTAGTACTTTTTTGTAGAGCGTTCAATTTCCTACCAAAATAATTTTTCAGTTCGTTTTTACAATGCTTAAATCTCAAGATACAAAAATTTCCATGTTATTTAAATGTAAAATGGAAAGTTAGGAACAGGCACCACTTAATGTTATTATAAAGAGCTCAAATTTTTAGAGGCTTTTTTTTTCACCTTCCTGAAAGTTTTTAGCCTGTTTTTTAGTTGAAAAAAAAAGTTGCTCAAAAATGACACCCTAATATATATAATATATTCCTATTGTTTAAAGTTTATTTTAATATAAATTTATCTGTATTTTCTATCGCTATCACTTTTTTCACCTATTTTGTTCGTTTTTTTTCTTCAAATATTTTTCCTTGTTTATTTATTCATATTTTACCAGTTGGATTCTTCCAAAAACTATTTTTTTCCATTTAATCACAGATAATAAATAATATAGATTTTTTATTGCTCAAGTTCCATTGGTTCCATTCCAACCATGCATAATATGGCAAAGGGCTGTATTCACAGATATTTCTTTAAATATTTCAACCATTCATTGTTAAACTCATTCGTAAATCAATCAATTTATTGTAGATTTTGTATATTTGGCATTGACCAGCGTATTTTTGTTCTGGGAGTTTTATATTCTCTTCGTAAAGAAAGAAGTCATTTATATTTCAGTACTGTTTCATTAAGCAACCTGTCGCTTCGGCCGACACCAGAAAACTCGTCGTAACTCATGACTAAAATTCCCTTTAAAAAACTTGTTGCGTATGATACTATTATTTTGTCATGTTTATTTAGGATGAAGGTTTAAGTCATATGCAAGACAGGACGCACGGTCGCAAAGGTAGAGATGATAATCGCGTACAAGACATGGAAGAGGATAGTTCCGATGAGGACTCTCGCGGACCATCAAAGCCTTCTCAGCCTTCAATTCAACCACCAATGCCGCCAATACCTGATAAGGTTGTCGTTAAGAAATATGATCCCAAACAAGGTAATTTGTTAACAAACGATTATATAATACATGTTTCAAAAATAAACATCATAATCATCTTATTATGCTTTCTAGTTTTATTACAATTTGTTATTTTTAAATAAAAAAAAAAGTCCAGTCAACAGCAATTTAACACTAAATTTCATTTCAAAATTTCTGCTGAATCCTTATTTAAAAATATCTTTAATACTAGATAATGGATTTAATTTTTTTATGATATGAACAAACTTAATATTTTTCTATCAGATCAGCGGTTCATTGTCCATTTAGTGTGGCCATTGTAGGGATTCTCTGGCAATAAATAAAAAAACGAAATATGAAATCAAATAAAAATTTGTTATTGGACCTCTTAGGCTTAATACTTATTTCCTTCCTGATAGAGCCTCAGTCAAAAAAAAAAATCTGGTAACCGACCAAAATTTTTCAGAATTGTTTGTGTTCTACATTTCTTTGAAATCGCGTTTTTATAAGTTTCTTGTAAATTCGATTCATTACTTTTAGGCAAGTAATACCAGGGCTCCCACACCTCCTAAAATTCATAAAATTCCTAAAATTTGGCTTAAATCTTAAAAACTCCTAAAATTCTCCTAAAATTGCCATCAATCTCCTAAAACTCCTAAAAATAAATATAAGTAGGCCAACTTGACTGCGTTTAATTAAGGTAGTTGTGCTAAAAAATTTCTTTTTTAAAAAGTAATTTAAAATAAATATAATATTTATTATATTTATTATTTATTTTATTAAATATATATTTTTGGGTTCTAGTTTTGGGTTCTTTTTAAAATGATATAGGTATCACAACCTACATTTTTCTTAAAAACCAACAAAATATACCATAAAACAAAATCCATGTAGTTGCTTCTAGACTTTTACAAAATTGTCATTTTTAGCCATATTTCGTTAATTTTCAACAAAAATATACCGTGTTATATATATCAAACAAAAGGATTTTTAATTTTCTTTTAAATGATAGGTAAAATAGTAAAAAAGAATGTTTTGCTGTATCATGCACTTTATATTTTTTCTATTATGAGATTTTTTAGTAACAATAACATTACAATTATTGTTAGTTATTAACTAAACTGTTAAATTTTTTTTCAAAATATAAATACAACATCATTAAACTTTGGCCTACTTTTTTAGTCATATCTATTAACGCTTTTTTTTAATAAAATTAAAAGTGTGGTGAAATTTCTACTTGTGTATATACCTTAGATATATACAAAAGTAGTAATTTTACATCATTTTTCATTTTATTAAAAAAAAACTCATCGAGCGATTTGGCTAAAAAACTGGTCAATATAACCTATTTGTACAAAAGAAATTATATTTATTTATATTTTTGTTAAAAAGAATTACTTATTTTTTTCTTATTTTTTATGTATAGTGTAGAGTTGTTTTTATTTAATTAAATAAATTCATTTGCATACTTTTTTAAAGTGACCAGATTCTGTCAAAAAATAACGGGACATTTTGTGTAAATTAACCTTAATTACAAAAATGACACAATCAACAATAATTAAGTAACGTCAAATTTACAATTTGCATTGTATCATTGTGTCAATTTTGTAATTAAGGTAAATTCATACAAAATGTCCCTCTATTTTTTGACAGAATCTGGTCACTTTATACTTTTTTCTCCTAAAATTCTCCAAAAAACCTCCTAAATTCCTAAATAAAATTTGTAATTTAACCGTGGGAGCCCTGTAATACTTACTTTTTATTATTTTAACCAAAATGAACTTTGATGAATTAAGAATTTACATTTTACTCTAAAATCTTTAATAATTTAATTTACTTACTTACAAAAATATGTTAAATATGTCAAAAAGTTCAATGGTCAAAATTTTGACCTCAATTTGTTTTCCTTGGAAAAAACAATTTAAAAAAATTGAGTAAATTCACTTCATTTTTTATATTTTTTGCCTGTAGTAAACATTTACAATTCAAAAAAAGAAATTGTACCGATCGAAACAGTTTTGGCCAAATTTGCGCATTTTTAAGAAAAAATGTCACTCGTAAAAAGAGAAAAATCGATGTTTCTGTCCATCCTACGGGTGAACAAAACAAATTTAAGCAAAAAGAAAAAATACGGGTCTCATCGATTTCGGTAGAGAAACTGTAATAGTTATTTGTTTTACAAGTGTTGAAAAGCGTCTTTTTCATGCAAGTGTTTAATTTGCTCACGAGGCCGTTAGACCAAGTGTGCATTAACAGGAGCTTGAAGAAACACGTTTGGAATTGTATATTCAGCTCTCGTGAAACCGTCAAACTCGCCTTCGGCTCGTGTGACAAACTCTTCACTCGAGCGGAATATGCTGTATTCCAAACTTGTTACAGAATATACTATTTTACGACCCTTTTATTTTTTATTATTTTCAAATACAAAACAAAATAACCTAAAAACGTGTTTGACAGCTGTTAAAATTACTTTCATCTTATTCTTTTAATTTTTAAGGTATAAGTTACTTAAAATTAATAAACTTCTCAATTTAAATAAAGGCACTAAAAATTAGAATTTAGTATACAAACACAATTAACTGTGTTGAAAATGATATTTAGACAAACATACACGCTAAAGAAGTATCGCTAGTAGCGCCACCACGGCTGTTATCATCGTAACAAAAGTAGAAGTTTTAATAATCATCTGTCAAACGCTTAGGTTACAAACGAGTGTTTTTGGGAATGAAGCCGGATAATGTTAAAAAATATCGTGAAAAAAAACCGTGGATTGATTTGTTGTGTTGGGTGTATTTTAAGAGGAAATCCTGGGTTGAGTTTGTACCGGTTTTCCAATAAACAGTGTTAATCTGAATGAAGAAATAAATTGCATACAGTCTCTGCAGTCTCTGCAATTAAATTGTACCTATTAGATACAATAAATACACATTTTAGTAGTGATTAACGTAAAAAGTGGAAACATTTCAATTCAGTAAAAATCGTCAAACAAATAAGTCGTCTAAATTTAAACAGCATTTAGCATTATTAAAAGCGTTGATTAAGAATCCTTTAAAGTCTCCACTCAACGGTAAAATACCATTATATTATGTATAATATTATGTTGCCATGAATTCGTAGGTATATTTTGTTGTTTAAAATGCAGTTGTCGGCGTTTTTTAGAGAACTCAAATATATAAATGATTGATTTTAAGGTTATGTTATGCAAAAATGATTTTTTAATAATTTCTTAAAAATTTCCAAACTTAAATATAAATTATATTAGGTAAAGTTATCATTAGTTAATTCTGCACCAACAAATGTACCTACTTACCGAATTGGTTCCTTTGGCAAAACATGAAAATGCAACGATTTAGTTCTTGAATTTTATTTACAATTAAAAACAAAATAATTCACCATGATCCCTTAGATAAAATACACACACTCACGTAACTATAAAAGCATTTAAGCGTTGAGTTTCTTAATCAATGATATAAAAGTTTTTTAATTTTTTCCTTGCAACAAATAACGTGCGCGATTTAGCTGTGCAATTGAACAAAATTTGCCTTCCTTTCTTTTGTAAAAAAACTACCTATTTATTTAAAAATGATGTATAATCGGTGCTTTAAATTTATTGTTGACAATTCTTAAATTCACGCAACGCATTCGAAGTCCACCAGATGGCGCGCGCGTTGCGAAAACCCGATACTTCTTTAGCGTATACAAATACAATACAAATTTTGAAACAAATATCAAACGATGCTGTCAATTTGTTTTCTCACAGACCAGTCACTTTTTACACAGAAATGTCACTTTTCATTTGTGTTTTGCCTTGCCAATGAAAAGATTCATTTTCTAAGCAACAATGCCATTACAAAATGTGAGTTTTACATAGTGGTCGCAGAAAAAAATATATTCGTTGAAAAATAACGACCCACCCCTTTTTGCCAGGTCGATTTGAGATGGAAAGACCCTATAACACTAATTTAAAAAATTCGTTTATTTTGCCTTTTAGCTGTTAAAGTCACCAGACCAACCGTGGGTGATGACTTTTTGGTATCGCCTATCACCGGCGAGAAAATCCCCGCCAGCAAAGTGCAGGAGCACATGCGCATCGGCCTGCTGGATCCAAGGTGGGTCGAGCAAAGAGACAAGCAGGTGATGGACAAGATGAACCAGGAAACCGTCTACGCCGCCGGTTCTGCAATTGACGCTAGTCTGAAATTGTTGGCCGAAAGACGTACCGATATTTTCGGTGTGGGCGACGAAGAAACCGCCATCGGTAAGAAAATCGGCGAAGAGGACGTTCGCAAGGACGAAAGGGTCACCTGGGACGGACACACGTCCAGCGTCGAGGCGGCCACCAGAGCCGCCCGCGCCAACATCACTTTGGAAGAGCAAATCCACCAGATACACAAGGTTAAGGGCCTGTTGCCCGACGAGGAGAAGGAAAAAATCGGGCCCAAGAATGTAATGGGTCAGTCTAAAAACGCTAAAGGCAATAAAGGACAGCAAATGCAAAATCAAGTAAGTTGCCATTATCAGCAAAAAAGTGTATTCCATGTTCTATGGTTACATTTAAGGGGACCTTTCGGCTCGGGAAATTTGGAATTGCATATTCCGCTCTCGTGAAACCGTCAAACTCGCCTTCGGCTCGTGTAACAAACTCTTCACTCGGGCGGAATATGCTGTATTCCAAACTTGTTACAGAATATACTATTTTCAAACAGAAATAATTAGCTGTTTAAAAATAAAAAATTCACTTCCAAAAGGGTATGAGAAAAAAGTCCACTTTGGGTGGCCTTTTTGGCAAGAAACTTTTTTTACTGGTTGCCATATTTTGCCACGTTTAATAGCTGATAGTTAATAAAATATATCAAGTTGGGTAGACCGGGGCATTTAAAGCCCAAACCGGGACATCGGGAAAAAGCTCTTGAAACTGGTGACATGTACCTATGGAAACCCTAATTTAACAACTTTTAAGCCAGGTTTTATCGTAGGATCAAACCGGGCTTAAAAGGTCTGTCTTACTCTAAAGTGGCACTTGTGTGCATCAAATCATCTGTGAAAGCTTTTATGACACTTGTTCCACTGCTATCTTAGTAATATTGATACTTGAGGTTTAAATTATTTTAATTTTATATATTTATTTAATTCAATACGCAATTTAAGAAAACTTAAAGTTAAACAAGTTAAAACACAAGCAATCCCAAAATTAAAAAAGTATTTATACATAAATAATTTTACTTGTTTTGCAGCAAAAACCCCCGCAGATGCCTCCCATGCCCACTCAACCCACCATACAGCTACAAGTGGCCCCTCAACCAATAATAGCACCCCAACCCCAAATTATGATGATGCCAGCTCCTCCCATGGCTCAAATGAGACCTCCACCATTGATGAGTAAGTTTTAAGCACGATTGCTTTGGTTTTTTTTAATTTGTATTAAATTAAAGTGGCTGCTCCACCACCAATGGGCGGATTTGTGACTCAATTGCCACCGCAAATGGCTCCCCCTATGAACATGCCCCACAAGCATCCAAATGAAGGGCCCTTGGAAGAAGAACCATCCAATAAGAAGATGAGGAATGAGGATTCCCTTGTGCCAGAGGAAGTGTTTTTGGCGCGCAATCCGGTAGGTGTAATAATAATACTTTAATTTTTTTTCTATTATTTTTTATTGTTTAGAGTCCTGTGTCCATCAAAGTGGCGATCCCTGTAATCCCGGACAAACCCGAATGGAAACTCACAGGTCAAATGGTTAGTTACACTTTGCCCCTGTCAGAGAGTGTTTCAAATCTTAAGGTTAAGATTCAAGAGGAAACCAACATGGCTCCTGCCAAACAAAAGCTGTTCTTTGATGTAAGTTTGCGTAATAAGTTATAAATAACAATTATTATTACACTGGGTATTTTTAGGGAATGTTCTTTAAAGATTCAAACACGTTGGCGTATTACAATATTACACAGGGAGCAGTTATTCAGCTTCAAGTAAAAACTCGTGGTGGAAAGAAGTAATTTTGTATGTATTGCTGAATATCTTATAATCCTTAAGAAATAAAGTGGATTTTTATCAAGTATTGGTTTTACTTATAAATCAGGTATGTTACTATTTCTGCTGTTAAAAAAGGAAATATCACAAAATTATTTAACCATTTATATATGTATGATATTCTAGTATTGTTTGTGAAAACAAAAATCTAAAAAAAACTGTAAGTATTAGTGCCCAATTTTTATGTAGACAGAATATCCCGATCAAAATTTAAAGTTCTTTAAGTTAGAAGTTAGTACTTAACTAAAGGCCAATATTGTTTAAACAAAATAATAGGTAAGTATAAGGAAAATCATTTAAAGTAAATAAATATATTTACGTATTTACAAATTAAATTTATTTATAATAAAATATATTGTCAAGTGGTTAAAATTAAAAAGTGGTAGGTAATCTTTTAAAAACAGCAATTATTTGTTATGATAAATTAAATATACAGCGTGTTAAAAAATGGGTAAAATATTTCTGTATAGTAGATCCAAAAAGAGGACAAAACTTTGGCGTTTTTCAATCTGACTCACCCTAAATTAGTTATTAATTAAATAAAGAAGCCAATCACAGCCGTGCTTTAGCAGAATGAGTAGAGGTGCGACAAACTAAAAGAATGTCAGAAAACGGAACCTAAAACCCTGACAATGACAGTGACAACTATACAATTAAATTTAATTCGCATTATAATAGCTATCGGATTTCTTCAAAAATGTGTTTTATAATTTTTAATCTTTTTTTAATTTCAGTATTCAAAAATGAAATGTGTTTATTAATTAACCACTATGCCTTAACAATAAAAACAATGTGAGGAAAGCTCACAATATGATCAAATTAGGTGCAGCACCTAATTTAAATAAAAATTAATTAGTAGATTTTTAAATACTAAAATTATAAAAAACACATATTTTAGTAGAAATTCAATAGTAGTGTGAATAATTCACAATTATTGTCATCAATTGTATAGTTGTCATTGTTTTTTCTTTTCTGACATTCTGACTAATTAAAGGTGGTTTAGATCAAAAGACGTCGAAGGAATTTTCGTTTCCTTCTTGGCTTTACTATAGGCCCTAGAAATATTTTACATTTTTTTAACACACTGTATAACTAGGGGTGTGCGAATATCCGAATTATTTGAATCAGAACTATTTGGTTAACCGGTTTTTATTTTCCATGAAAACCGCGGTTACACTTTTAATAAAAACCGGATGTCGATTTTTGGACCAGTTAAAAACCGTTTCTAATAGGTTAAAAGTCGATTTTTTCGACCGTTTGAAAACTGGATTTTCCATTGATAAAAATCAGTTTTCTTGGCCGATCCAAGTAAAAAAATCGTTTTATCTGGGCTGTGAAATACTGCATTTTTAACCGCTTTATTTTACCAGTAATTAACCACTTTCTGCTCCAGTGTTTTATGACCTTAATTTATAAACGTTTTACACCCTCCGCGCTGCGGTAATTTAACAGCTGTTAAACTTTGTAATGTTCACCAATATTACAATATTACTTATCTAAAAAACAAGTTTAGTCTATCGAGTTAATTGTATTTTTATTAAAAATACATCCTACTAAAAAACTTCACTACGCTGTTTTGAGTCTTCCTGTATAGTTAAAAATATTCTTAAAACATTTTTTGTTACTCTTATAGTATTTGATATAACTTTTGTTCCCCATAGTTCCATGCAATTTGCAGTTAATAATCAAAAATTGGTCTGATCGATTTATAACCGGTATAGAAAACTGAATTTAACCGGTTCAAATCCAATTTTCCTAATCGGTTAAAAAACGTTTTTAACCGAACATAAAAACGGTTTTTTAAAACCGGTTAAATATTCTATGACCGGTTAACCGCCTCATAATTTTTTTACTGACAGCCTTAACTATTCAAATGGTTTGAATTAATCTAATATCAGAAAATTATTTTTTAATAATTATAACAACTTTTTGACCGATTATAATAATTATTATTGGATAATTTAATTTTTTTATTATTTAAAACATTTGAATATGTTAAACTATTTGAATTGAATATTTAGTTCCATTCCAATAATTCTCAAACACTTATTATTATATGCTATTTATATTTGAATTAATTGGAGTTTTTGGAATGTGTCATTTCATTGTATTTCAGTTGGTACAAGATTTTTAATAATCATCCTGTACCTTTCCAACATGGGTTCGTAAATATCAGCAGCATCACTGAAAGGTGCACAGGCTAATTCGGACGGAGGAAGGCAAGCTGTGATTTCGGTAAATGTGCTGCTATCTTGAAGTAGGCCGTGTTTAGCTTGATACGCTGCGCCCAACATGGCTGAATCAGATGCCTCCTAAAAATTTAATTTTACCATTTAGATTTCAGTACGATACATTGCATTGCATGATATTGAGTGTTTAATTTTTGGGATACTCACTGAGTATTACTCAGTATACTATTATTTACCTGAACATAGACAGGAGCATTAAAAACATCTGCTAAAACTTGCAGGATGGATTTATTATTTGATGCACCACCTGTTGCCAATATTTTGGTATTTTTTCCTGCAAAAAACTTCCTGTAAAATTTGTACAACATAAGAACTATGATTTCATACCAACTTTGAAACCAAAATCTTCCGCATAGGCCCTTTTAGCAATAAACTGTCCTTCAACAAGTGCCCTCACTTCCACTTCCAAACTTGTAAATTTATTTACTGGACCCGATTTGTTGTATCTGTGATCTCCTTGTAGGAATGGTAATATTTCTTGCACATCATAATATAAAGCTAAAATTAAATAAATATTATGAGATTGAGATTAGTTGCTTAATTTTTAGCTTACCCATATTACCAAAGTTTCCCCTGGGTGTACTGTCGAGTAATTGGTTAAAAATGTCCCATGATCCTTCAGCACATTTGTCCCTAATTCTTTCTCTTGTCCGAGATCCATTTTTAAAACTATTTAACAAAATATTGATGTATAAAATTATACATTTTATTCAAAGTTTATAAATAACTTTTACATAATTAAAAAATACAGAATAAATTTTATTGTTCAAAACTAGATGTGTGTGAATATTATTTTAATCGAATTAGAGATATTTGATTATAAATATTGAAAAATTGAATTGAAAAGAGATTCGATTCGAAATGTTGAAAAATTTAAATTGAAGTATTATATTAACATGCTTAAAAATTTATAAAAAAAATATACAAGGTGTTTCACATTCATGGTTCATTAGTAGTTTCTGGGAAACAGAAAGAGTCGAATTGAAATTTTAAAAGCGGTAAAAATCCATTTAAGTCTATTTTTCTAAAATATTTTAAACAAAATGCCACTTGTGACATAAATGTTATTTCAAATGAAACACCCCATATATTTTAACATTTTTAAGTTCTACATAAAATTCTGAGTAAAATTACTATACCAAGTTTTATACCTACCTAAAGTGAATAGTTTTTAAATTTTTTTTTGTTAAAATTTGAGAAATGCGCGTCAATAAAAATAGCCTATAAGTTTTATGTTATTAGGTTTGCGAATATGGGGGTGGAATTTTTGAAATCTTAAAATATTTTTCAACAAATTACCTGAGAAATCCAAGGGTAAATTAACTTTTTTATTTTAAATGTAACACCCGGTATGTTTTTACATAATCAAATAGTAAATTAAAAAAATCTTTCCCTATACTTAAAGTTAATAAATAAATAAATAAATAAAGTTTTTATTGCATATTGAGTACATATACAATGTTCTATAAAATACAAAATACACAAAAGGCAATCGACCGGGGTCCTTCAGCCTGAAGTTAATAATTTATGAGATATTTAAGAATTTCTAAAATTTTAAATATTATTTTGTATCAAGAAACCTGTGACGGGTGAGTTATTAACGGTATCTATGGCTAGGTTATTACGTAATCTGTCATTGTTCAAAATTGAATTGCGTAAATTTTTGTTTGTTTTGCTTGTCAATATTTTTTATATTAATACTGTTTACAAAACACTTAATTAGTCAACAAATTACTTATAACAACCTGACCAATTTAGGCCATTAAATTTTGAACAATAAGAGATTAGGTACCTGGCAACCATAGATACCGTCAACTCACCCTTCACAGGTTTCTTGATACCAAAAAATATTTAAAATTTTAGAAATTGTTAAACATCTCTGAAATTATTAACTTTAGGTATATGGAATAGTAACATAAATCTAAAGGTTTTTTAATTTACTATATGATTAGGTAATTTGTTAAAAAATGTTAAAGAATTGATATGGAATCTTTTAGCCGAGGCAAATAACCACGCGAGTGATAAAAAATGACTTTAATGCCGAGGTGCATATTAAATTTTATCCGAAATCACATTTAATAATATTAATAATTAATATTGATGATCAAATCAAATGTCATTTGATGATCAAATCAAACGTCATTTGATTATCAAATCATGTCATTTGAATGTAGGAATTGTCTACTTATACTGTTTGTTGCGACGTTTATGATATATTTGCCCGTGATATATTTGCCCGCCGCGGCGATTTTTAAATCTAATTAATAAAATTAACTTATTATTTTTATTAAACAACATTTTATAAACGGGTCCAATCGACCTCCGCGACGGTGCATTATATTTTAAATATTATTAGTTGCTGCTGAGTAGCAGTAGATACATCTTAAAATGTATAATGGTTGGCATACAATACTCTCTATTAAATCGGCAGTAAAGTTCTACTTTACCATGGTTTAGTCATTTTACTGAGAATTTTATGTAGAATTCAAAAAAGTCAATACATATATATATATATATATATATATATAGTTTTATCCGCATATCGTTGTGACTTCCTGGTGCAAAATTTCTACCGGCGCTGCGACATCCATTGACGTTGTAACATCCAAAATTGGATGTCACAACGTTTTCCATGCTAAATCTACTTATAACAAGGATAGGAAAGGGTGGGAAAAAAATCAAACGGATGTTAAAAAACATGGTTTTAAAATTTGCTTGTATAATTGTTTCAAGCGTTTACCCACCAGATAGCGCGCTGGACAGTTGGCAATGTTTATTTTGTATAATTTAGATAATAAAACCAACGTATCCTGTGACATCCATTTTTATTAGTGTTTATTATCCTTTTATTTGTCGCGCTTTGTGACATCAAAATATTGGCAACGCTGTTTCTTGAGTTTTAAGTGTTATTGTTTGGAAAATTCAGTTCATATTCATATAAGACGTAGGTTTAACATCTTTTGCTGCTTATTCTTGCAATTATTTAAATCAATTTATTATTTATTTTCTGGAACTAAATTTAACTGACACCGGTAAATAAATATAAGTATCGTAAAGTCAATAAATTACAATAATTTCTAAGATATAAGAGGTAATCATCACATGCTAAATTGTACTTATACTACAAAATTTGATATCCGATAAAAGGGACATAAAATCATATTTTACAGGAGAGGCGATTGAAGTTCGCGAGGCAGGCGTTTGTGAAGTAACGCTCGACAAAAATTAATAGCAATGTCAAATTTTTAAATAAACAAATTTTATCTGGACCTTTAGAAAGATCGTTTTCAACTCAACTTAAAATATAAATAATTTCAAAAATCATTTTTCTCGGATTGCGTATAAAAACTGGGCGCCCGTACATGCAATTAATATGATTTTAATTTAGGTTTACCTACTCTATTAAAATGAACTACCGTAAACACGGGTGACTTTGCACCCCGCGGATGACTTTAACCTTTTTATGAAAAATCTTTTCGAGCTCAATAAAATTAACATTTTTTTCTCTAAACCTTTCAATGAGGTGATAGGTACTATGAAGTTTATTTTACCGACTATTTCCCTCGTCTTAATTTCCTTAATTCTAGGTGAAAAAACTGTGTGACAGCACCTGTGAGCAGTTTTTTCGAGTTTACCCGCGGCAAAACTTGACAGCTGCTGTCACCAAAAAGGGGCCGTTCATTAATTACGTGAGGTGTTTAGGGGGGGGAGGGGGTCGAGCCAAACCTCACCAAATCTCACGTGGGGGGAGGGGGGCTCTCGGCAAATATCACGTAATTTTTTTTTTCCGAAAGAAAGAGTGTAAAATTGCGAGAAAACTGGGTTAAATTAAGTAAACAATTATAAGCAAATTGTTTTTTTTTAATAAATCTAATGGAATCAAGCACAGATTAACTTATTTACATTAAAACCATGCATTTAAAAAAATCTCACGTGAGATTAAGGGGGGGAGAGGGGGTCGAGCAAAATCTCACGACATCTCACCAAGGGGAGGGGGGGGGGTCGAAAAATCGCCAAAATTGTCTCACGTAATTAATGAACGGCCCCAAATTGCAATTTATATTTTAATTGTTAACTATTACTCATGAAATAGTCTTGTCAAATACCATTCGGGCATCTAATTTTTCCTGTGAAAAAAATCGAAAAAACACAATGCTAAGTAATATTTTTTAACAAAAAGCATTCGTGCAGGTGCAAAAATCTTCCTCTTCAACTCGGATTTTTGTTGCCACCAGCACTCATGCTTTTTGTTAAAATATCACTTAGCAACGTGTTTTTTCGATTCTTTTCGGAAAAATTAAATGATATTACTGATAGGATTTATCACATTTTAAAATTGTTTATATTGCATCGGTGCAGAAGAATGATTGGTCCTTGGTTAATTATAATATACATACATACATATAGCAATTGCAAGGGATTACCGACGATAAATAAAAAAATGATCCATAATAATTATTATGGATCATTTTTTTATTTATCGTCGGTAATCCCTGGCATTTGCTATATGTCTGGGCTAATATGTGTCAAATAAAAAAATAAATAAAATATTGTGCCAATTTTATACGGAAAATACTCTGTGAGACGAAGTTACCCGCAACTGGGGGGTAACTTTGCACACCCTGTTTTTAATTTTTATTTTTAAAACTCAGCTTTATCTAATATTATAACCTAGTTATTATGAAAATGCAACTTAAGACTTAAATTTTGATATATAATATGTTTATGATTGTTAAAACCACAAAAATTTTAAGCAAAAGTTTGAAAGTGAGCCAAAGTCACCCGTGTTTACGGTACTATTTAAATTAGTACCAGCATTGTTTACCAACAAGTAGTCGTTTTCACTTTTAAATAGTTATTTTTTGTTACTTAAATAGTTATAGTTTAATTAATTTAAGATAAGTCACCATCTTTGACTGTTCCTGAGAGTAAATAATTTCTTTAATTTTTTTAATTCTTACAAATTATAATTTTATAATTATTGTTAAAGTTAAATTCATATTCCATGGTTAAATGGTCCATAAAACAGACAAAAATACAAAATGTTTAGCTCAAAACAGCATCACAAAAAAAATTCAACTTTAAAGTATTATTAACAATATTTATCTACACCTACATTGACGAGCTGTAACTTTATGGCGTTTTATTGACGGGCTGAAGTTAACCACAGTGGCTTTTCGACATTTTACGTCACGGGCTGAAGTTAGCTTTATTATAAATTGGGAAAAAGTGAGGTTAAATTGGGGTGACAGTTGACAGATGTCAAAATTTTAAAAAATAAAATTGGCTTTAAATTCTGTTTTGTGTTCGTCGTAGATAAAGTATAGTATGCAACTCGTTTATAAACTTCTCTAGACACTCGTTTTTATTAAACACTCGCTCGCAAGCTTCGCTCGTGCTTAATTAAACTCGTAACTAAAATGGCGTTTATAAAATATGATACATTATATACTATTATTATACACAAATAAAACTAATTTTATAAAACTGACATTAAGGCACCAGTTAGCAAAAAAGTCTATGAAGGATAAATGCAATGTGAATAATAATAAGGTAAGCAAACTAAAAAACTAAAATGGAAAAAAGTGGCCTAACGTTTTAATTACCAATTAATAAAATGATTATTTAATACTTGAACCATGAAAGTGAATTTTTAGATATTGGTACTT